TATATATATATATATATATATATATATATATATATATATATATAGTTCAGAGATAGTTTTAACTTCTAAATACCAAAGGCAGTAAAAGTTATATGTTCCAGTTGAAACAGCTCTTTCTTTTTTAACAAATCTTCTATGAATTGATGGTCAGTTTTAGGGTACTCTAATTTGCAAATTCTGCCTTCCTTTTGTTGATTTCTTAATGTATATCATATGATATACCATTTCCTTTTGTTGAGAGTTGTTGTAAATTGTGTAGTTAAAGTTGACTGAGAGAGCTTGGATATCAATGAGTATAAGATGGTTTTGTAAAACTAAAAGATGTGGAAAAGAGTCTGAACAGTTCATCGTTAGTATGAATTTTTTTTTCGTAGTGGGTGGTATGGGAGACCAATCAGCGAACCTTAAGTTTGACTTAGTTTTTGTTGATTAGCATTTTGAATTTGGTTTTTATGCTGAGGACAAAATGAGAATGCAACTGACCATCATCTATCTTTTTAAGTGTAACATATACTGTATATGGAGAACAATATTAATAATGATTGTTGGAAGCAATGATGCTTGATTCTGTTCCTTCAAATTTTTTTATGTTTGATGCCTTTTGGCCTTGTGACATTTTTTCTGACAGAATTTTAGTTGTTCTGGAAATTATAGCCTACTAGAAGTAGATACTATAAACTAATGGAGATGTCAAGATTCAGGACTGCTAATATATTCATCAACTGAGCTGAGTTTCTTATCCTCTTTACTTCTGTGAAATATGTGGCCATTAGTTTTGTAGCTTTAATTGTTCAAGAGTCTGGTATTGGATTAGTGTGCAAGAAAATATTGTAATGACTGATGGTTCCTTTTCCATCTTTCTTTTATCTGCAGTGCATCACGTTTTAATGCTAGAGTTTGGATTTTTAATTGATAGCATTGTTCCCTTTGCTGTCATATGTTTCTTACTGCAAATAGTTTCTAGCTTGCTAGTAAGTAATTGAACTCTATTCACAAGGTTTCCAGTGGTGATTCTTGATTGCAGTACATGTAGTGTAGTAGCCTCTTGCCTTACATTTGATTGGTATTGAGCAGGTTGACTTAAAACTGCTGAAATATATATGATTATGGCCTTTTTTGTCGGACCTGATATAAGCTAAATTATGAATCATACAATTACAGCAATTTTTTTCTTTCAGGGAAGGACCACTCTTGATAGTTGCTTCTGGTCGTGACACAATATCAGTAGCCAGCTCAATAAAACGTTTAGCACCAGAAAGTGTTTTTGTCATTCAGGTCTGAACTTTTACATAGATTAAAAAAATATCAAGAGATCAGTCTATTGTATATTCTGATCCATGCCATCCTTGTTATTTCAGATACAGCATCCAAGGTCACGCCTTGACAGGTTTGATTTAGTGGTGACTCCTCGTCATGATTACTATGCTTTGACTGCCAATGGGCAGCAGGAGATCCCTCGTATTCTTAGATGGTGTATCACTCCAAAAGAACCACCTGGTAGGAATGTGGTATGTTTCTCTATGGTTATGTGGGGCACCTTTATGCAAGATGGATTTAATACTTGAGCTGTTGAGCATATATTACACAAAAAAAATCTTTATTTTTTTTCTTGCTTGCTTGGATATTTAGCATTTCATATTTTCAGGTCCTCAGTATAGGAGCACTACATCAGGCTGATTCTGCTGCTCTTCGAATTGCTGCAACTGCCTGGCATGATGAATTAGCCCCTCTTCCGAAGCCATTGCTCGTAGTTAATATTGGAGGGCCTACAAGTAATACCCATTTCATTTGCAGTAGTTTTTTGTTTCTTTTAGTTTGAAAGGTTATTAAGTTTTTTTACTATGCCTTATGCTTGTTTGAGATTCTTAGAGTAGCAACTTGTCAATGACAGGGATCAGATCGCTTTCAAATTGCTGTCATAAAGCTTCCTAAAATCTGCATGAAACATCCAAGTACCATTTTCCTTCACGAGGAATAAAGATATCTTGAAGGAGCAATTAACTTGTTGTGTAGCATCTCCTTAACTTGCCTTTCTAGATAAGCTTTTTGCATAATAGGGATATTAATATGGTCTAACATTCCCCTGATCTTTTCCCAGCTATATCTGGATCCTATGATGATGTTTTCTAGGTAGGGGAAAACTTTTTGACTCTTTAAATAGGTCAGCTAGCTGTTATTTTTGTCCTGCACCGGAAGTAGGCACTTGTGGTTATGATTGATAGGCTGAAACTACTACAAATATATATGAAAATTTTCAAGCATCTTAGGTACTCATGAGTTCTCAGTAGAGATTTCCACCAATTTATACGTGCCAAAAAACCTCTTAATGGAGGCAAAAAGGCAGCTTTTGTTCTACTGGACTGCAAAACTGCTACAGGCTGAATCTTTCCACTACTCATGAATTGCTCGGGACATCTCAAATGCTATGATGGGTTGTTTTAAGCAATAGGAGGGTGGTAGGAAAATGGGCCAGCCTGAAAAGATGTTTGGATACTAAGTTCAGTAATAGGCATCTCCCTTGGATGTAGTTGTATGGACTGTCTTTAAATATCATCTTCAGGTTGTGCAAGTCTCACTAAATGCTTTTCACAGTTTCCATAGTATGCATCTTTTGTGAAAGTACACAGTACACACTTTCCATGGCATTTAAGCTTGTCATCATTCCCACCATCATTCCAAAGGTGGTGATAAGTTTCATCATTAAGTCTCTGGACATTGATGCTAGAAACTTTTCTCCAAAACTGAAACAAGGTGCTGTTTATATTAGTAATAGTAAAACACACATCTTACATTTAGGGGACACACCTAAGACATGCATAAGAATTTTGAGTGTTCCATTTGGTTGGGGGTTCCTCTTCCTCTTTGATATTCTTCATCTTTCACATCAATGATGCGTTCATTGTTCCTTGTGTCATCTCGGTTCAGTACCATCAACTTGGTGTGTTACTTGCACCTATGCCCAAGGCCACTTCACATGGTCATAGATACTTGAAAGGTTTATTCTCTTAGCTAATCGTCAGCTGACTCCGTACTGTTGAGTGTTGAGGGATAGTGTAGGTCTTGAAGCTGCTATAGATGCTTGTAGGAAGTAGGTTGAGAAGTAAATGTAATTGAATCTGTAGTCCATGAGAAGGGCTTAGGTAGTGTTGCCCTGATATTGTTGTAGTTGCCATTCTAGGCCCACTAACAATAGGCCTATGTGTTTTTGTAGACTGTTGATGGGTAGTGTTGATCCCTCTCTTCTGCCCCCTTGTGTTAAGAAAAGCTTCAAGTGGGACAGGTGCACTGGTGACTGGCACTTTAGTGCATAGATGAGACTTCAAACCACCTATAAATTACCATTCAAATATTCTTGAGGTTTTAAGCGTTGAAAATCTGGCTTGGTACTTCACCAAGGTGCCTTGGCTTCCAAAACAACATTGTTATTTTGATAACGCTTGTACAAAAGCCTTCTTTTGTAGGTGAAAAGATGTTAATGGCACTTCAGAATCTTTTGAAGTTCCTACATGGTTGAAGAACTGCTTTTTTTGAAGACCCGTGTTGAAGAATGACCACTACTAAACTTTGAAAGTTGAAGTGAGTTTGATGGTGTAGGATATAGCGTAGTTCTATCAGTTATTTAGCAGGGTAATAGCATTTAGCAATAGCATTGAATTTGTGTAGGTATTGGCCGAGGGTTTTAGCGTTGTCGTTGGACACAATGACATCTTGTTGGCAGGTGTGGACAGACAAGTCCACTGTCCATCATTTCCTCAGGGATTGTTTTGGGGATGATATTGCTGCATTTGCAGATTCAGAATTAGTTATTGAAGTACAGACCATAATTCCTCTGCTGGTATTTGAGGTCAAGCTCGGGCTCCTTGATTTCTTCCATTTTGTTGATCCTCCCTACTATTGTACTGGGGGTGGAAAGGTCCAAGGATGCCGTCTTGTTGTTGTTGGTTGCATGGCGAGGTCAGCATTTGAGATGTTGGACATGACAATGCTAGAGTAGGCTTAACATATTCTTGTAGTTACAATGTCATGTGACTAGTGGAATAGTGATTTGTTGTCTTATTCCACAGTCAGGGTTGATGTGATAGGCTGCAAGGTTCTACGAATGTGGTTACTCTTCTTGTTGGATGACCATTCACATGATTGTAGCTAACATCTGGAATGTATGGTCTTTTTCAAGATCTTGATAGTTTATACTTGATCGCAAGGACTTGGGCTCAAATTCCGCCTTTGACATTTACCCATTTCAAAAAAAGACTTTTCATATATCTCCGTAAATAGGAAATTGGCGACACCTTACTGGTTGCCTGCTAGCTTGGGCAAAGCTTTCATCTGTATGTTGTGGATCGAAACATGGCGTCATGATGATGTTTTTCTCCACTTTGTCAAGGCAATCACTTAAATAATTCTATGCTGCCACTAAATCATGTTGCTTTGCACCTTCATAAGCATGGTAGCAATCTCTCTGTTTGAATTTTCCAAAAACGTATGAGCATCAATGGGGGAAGTTCTTACATAGATGTAGGCCGACATAGATCATTTTCTACTATCCTCTAATACTAAATTGTAGAGTCTGTTTCCTCTAAGAGAGTAGATAGACAGGCAATAAAGAGACATAGGGAAGATATAAAGTAAAAATAAAAATAATATTGACACAATGATCCAAACCAATTCTACAATGCCTATTTTCATAAACTTACAGATTATTGTCCCCTTGATCCATACTTGACATCAAGAAAACTAAATATAAAATTGTAATATGCTGTGAGTTGAGAGAATAATAGGTTCAACTGATAAGGTTCCAGATCAATCATCTCCAAAAGTCCAACTTAACTGGAAGTTCTGAAACATGCAATAAAAAATTGTGATGTTCTTGATTTACGGCCCCTTTCCTCTTCCACCTTTCTACTGCATTCGTCACCTATTGATTCTCATCTGCCACTGAGCTCCCTTTCTCTAGCATGCCTTTGTGCAGTGCCAGATGGCAATCTTTCAACTCCTATTCCACAGGCATTCCTTAAGGTTCTGTTCACTAGACAGGAACAAGGTATATTTGAAATACTATAATATGTTAATATGATTGTTTTCTGCTCTGTCTTACACTTAAATTTTTTCAAACCAATGCCATATCCAACCACAACATCCTACCAAACGGGTCCATTGTTGACTGTTACAGCTGGGGCACCCAGTACTAGACAGGCTTGCTTTGGTGACACTAGCATCATCTTTATTGTGGCTTCTTAGTAGCTTTGTGGCAAATGTTATATATAGATTTACAGCAGTTGAAATTATGCCTGATATGTTTGCTAGTGTTGCTTTTGCTTTTGTATGCTCCACACAAGACTTCTCTTGTTGTAAATGGTCTTTGGATTTTGGGATTTTGATGCATGTTAAATTTTAAATTGTTTCAGGGAACTGCAAATATGGTTCAGATCTTGCCACACAGTTGGTAGGTTCACTACAAAACGTGCTGGCAAGTTGTGGAAGTGTTAGAATTTCTTTCTCTAGGAGGACTCCTAAAAAGGTTTTGGATTGGATTATTTGTTCTTTCTTCTTCATTTGGCTTGCTCCCCTCTAGAATAAAATCACTAATTAATGTTGACAGGTTTCTGACATTATATTACAAGAGCTAAGTAAACATCCAAAGATATATATTTGGGATGGAGAAGGTAACTTTTGATATATATAATGAGAATCTTTGTACGCATCAAATATGAAGTTTGATTTTTGTATTACCTTCGTTGAAATATCAAGACCCAAATCCACACATGGGGCATCTGGCATGGGCTGATGCATTTGTCATTACTGCGGACTCGATTAGTATGCTCAGTGAGGCTTGCAGCACAGGGTATAAGTCAAAAGTTGCTTCTAATTAATTAAGAATGTGAATTTTTATACTAAGGAGCTGATCCCTACCTTTTTCATGTGAATTGCAGGAAACCAGTTTATGTGATTGGAAGTGAGTGTTGTAAGTGGAAATTCTCAGTGTTTCACAAGACTCTTCGTGAGCGAGGTGTGATTCGACCATTTACAGGATTAGAGGATGTAAGCCCATCTCTGTTTCTTATGATTTAGGGTATTTTTTGTTCTTCTAGAAGATTTCAACCATATTATGTCCATCATTGATTCGAAGCTCAGTTCTAGAGGAATGCAACATTACTTGCTTGGGCTTTTGAAGCCTTTGTTTGAGTTAAGTTGCTTATTAATATGATGTTAATGATAATTTTTTGAGAGATTCACTTATTCACGTAGAGTGAATCCTTTTAACTATTGTCATTACCATTGTCATCATCAGATCTGATACAACATGAGGTCGAGAAAACCATTACCTGTAACCTTTTTTCTTTTAACTACATTGTGTTTTTTTCGTTATCTACGCTTCATGTTCTGCAATTAAATCATCAAACATTCTTTGGATTTTCAGATCTCAGATAGCTGGAGCTATCCTCCCCTTAATGATGCTGCCGAAGCTGCTGCTCGGGTTCGTGAATTCCTTGCCGAACGAGGATTGACACTAGGCCGCTAGCTGGTCATATATGAACTGAGTTCACTGATGAGGGATCGTCCATGGTCACAATTGGGACCCACATCCAGTTTATATATTGTTTTTGAGTTTTTCTGTGATTTATAGAATAAAAATTACGACCCCGGCTTATGAGGATGTGAATATGGTTTATACCAAGTATATTTTGCTAGTGATCAAATCACCGATGTTGAGTTTGCACAGATAAAGAATTCATTTTCTGTGATTATAATTGTATGGATGGACCTGCATTCGTGATGGGAAGAGAAGATTTTGCCTAGGTTTTATTATTGCAGACAGTTTCTTTTGTTACATCAATGTCCATATCATCTTTCCTCCCTTAAAATTGCAAAGACCACAATGATGTCCAAATTGTGATGGGAACAAAGCTTATGATTGAGATTGAGCCCACTATCGAGATCAAACAATAGTCAAACCTCAGCCATTTGAATCGATAATTTGGTAGCTTAAAAAGTTATTCTTGGGGAATTGGGGGAACCAATCATGAGCTTTATTTGCCAGATGTTTGTGATCATCATCTTCTTGTTCCTCTTCGACTGCTCTCTTGGACTCTCACTCACCACCATCCTCCTCCCTCTCGCAACTGCACTTCCAAAACACTGATTCAGGCATATTCCTTTGCACTTGTTTTTGAGCTTATAATCCACACATATAAAATTGAAATTAATAGGTATATTCACTTATCCTTTAATAACAACATATAAGTATAATAAAATTTAACATGCACTTCAATTGAAAGTATCGCAACCATAGTCTTCAGTAAACTTGTTCGAACACTGATGCAAGTAACTATCAAAACCAAAAAGTCAAGCTCGGCTTCTTCCTTCATCGCCAACTGATGAGGGTAATAATGGCGATAAGACTCGGGTTGATGTTAGCTGCCCTAGATGACGCCTCGCGCCCCTGTTAACCTGACAGCACTTGGTCAACATGGATCGGAACGCCAACCGAGGCACATTAACATCCTGTTCAGGCTCGATCCTTCACGCCACGCCAACGTCGATGTCAGACGTAACCAGGAGTATGATCCTGCTCCCTGCAAGCGGGCACATTAGGCAACGGTAACCTTCACTATAAAAACTCTCGCACTCCGAGAAAATGAGAGGAGGGAGGAGAGAGAGAAAAAGACAACCAACAAACCTCCTGCGAATATTCGCTAACTTAATCATCGGAGGGATCGGGCCGAGTTCTCCCGACCCGACCTGTGTGCAAGTGCGTAGACGGAGGTCTCCTGGAGTCGTCCCAAAAAGATCTCCCGTCATTCGGATCCTAATCAAGCCGCGTCGGTCCCGAGGCCAGGCTCAAAGTTGTTTGCACCAACGCCAACAAAACCAACGGCATCAACAGACTTGCTTACTTTTATCCTTGATCCTAAAATAACACAATTACAACCACACCTACACAGAAAGGCAGCTCTATACTATTATATCGTCTCATCCAAAGTCAACTCCTTCAAGCTGCCTCCTCCTGGCCACGCTCGACGAATCCCCAACATAGCTCTCTCTCTATCTCATATATACTTGCACATTGTCTTGACGCGGTTTAAAACGTGGGTTTGAAGTATAAATCCCCTCCTTCGATTCTTTCTTCTTCTCCAAAAGCCTCCAACACAAAGCCAGCAAGCCGAGAAAGGCACAGAAAAGTGTAAACTACTACAGAGTTGTGATTCCCACGTCCCACTGCCACCATCTCAAACGCTTCCTTCGATGCAACTCCAGCCAATACTACTCCTCCTCCAGCCCCCGAATCTGCATCTCACTCCTGGGGCGGGAAAGAGGAGGAGTTCCCCCATGTTCTAACAATCCAATCTTTATTCAGCCAATGTCCGATCCAGCTCCTAAACCCTTTTTGTAATCCCCTTTTTGGCCCATTCCAATCTCCACCAAGTCTCCTCCCATTATACCTGTCGATGACCCAAGTCCTTCCCCTTCCTTCTGATCTCCCTCCATCTGGCGCTGTAACGGCGGCACAATAGAGAGGCGGAGGAGGAGGAGGAGGAGCTAGTCGCTGGCATTGCTCCGGAAGGCGCAGCAAGACGGAGGAGGGGAGCAGCGACGAGGGTCTCCACGCGATGGAGATCGGGTGGCCCACCGACGTGCGGCACGTCACCCACGTCACCTTCGACCGGTTTCACGGATTCCTCGGCCTCCCCGTCGAGCTCGAGCCGGAGGTTCCCCGCAGAGCTCCCAGCGCCAGGTCTTCCCACTTCTTCTCTTCCTCCTTATCGGAGACATCGCTACTTATATGCTGCTAAATGCGAGCTTGTAGATGCTTCTTCCATGGCATTAACTACGCATAACGCTAATTCATCCTTAAAGCACATGAATTTAAGAAGAACAAGGATGTACTCATACGTTTTTGCCCCTTCTTTCAAAGATTCTACCTTCTCATCTGCCAATCATTGCACAGTGCAAACGTGTTCGGCGTTTCTACTAAATCGATGCAGTGTTCCTATGACTCGAAAGGGAACAGTGTTCCCACCATTCTCCTGCTGATGCAGAGACGACTGTATGAGCTTGGGGGTCTTCGGGTACTTCTTCTTCTGGCAACGATGTGAACTTTGTGATGCTTCTTGGTGTCTGAACTCTCATCCTTGTCGTGTTGGAACAGACAGAAGGTGTTTTCAGGATCACTGCGGAGAATAGCCAAGAAGAGTATGTGAGAGAGCAGCTAAACAGTGGAATTTTGCCTGAGAAGATCGATGTGCATTGCCTTGCAGGTTTGATCAAGGTGAAAACTGGAATCTCTTTCCTCTTTCTTGCCATCAATGACAAAAAAGAATGAGAAAAAGATGTTCTAGTGAAATATTTAGCCACTTGTTTATTTGTAACTTTAGCAATTTATTCTTAATTTAGTGCTTGAAGTTGTTCTTCTTTTTTTGTTGCTTGTGTTGAATTGGTCCTTGAATTATAACTTTACTGTAATCAAGTCCTTCCATCAGCCATTGTTATTTGCACTTAATGGAAAGATATATTTTAATCACAATTAACTCTTGTTTTTGCTTCCTTAGCTTTGATTTTATAGAATTCTAGTCTTTAGATTGGTCTGAAAAATATACAAGATTGTTTGAGAAGCACCCAAAGTTGATGGATCATGTAGATAATTTAACCTCTAAATTGTTTTACTCTATCTTGTTCATAGAAAAATGTTGGTGAGATTGACTACTACTTATCTATTTTAACAACTAAATGTCATACATATTAAAATAATGTTATATATATTGATATAATTTTTATTATAAATACACCTGCCACACAAATAATATACAGCATGTTATACATAATTTATTTGTTACTGCTAATATACAGTATTGGTGACCTTGTCGAGCATGAAAACCCCTCCTGAAATGGTTGGTGATACCTGATGGTGTAGCTGCCAAGATGGGATCGAGCCCTATCACTTCTCCTACAATAGAATCTATGTCGGGTTTGCCTCCCTAAAAGGTCCATCCGATGTCCAAATTAGTAAATCTTGACATGGATTAGGAGTAGAGGGGAGAACAAATCTAATATGATGCATTGTGTCGCTGTGCTTTGTTTATAGTCGACGCTACCTAAATGCTTACGATTAGGAAAAATAGTCTTCGTATCTAAAAACATTCAGACAGTATTTTTGGTTCAATTCTTATTGATGTGATGGATTTGCCCTGTTATATCTTATTCATTTTTGCCCGGTTCGCAGCCATGTATCAAGCTCCGACCTAAGACGAATATTTTCTTTATTGACATGATAACTAGAATAAAATCTTTATTTAGAGCAAGACTAATTTTACATGGGATCATATGGTCGATTCTAAATAGCTATTTTTTTTCATATTTTTATAAAGACTTTAGATATTTGCTATATATTTCATACTTGCCGATCTTGTGAGTTCAATATATCGAGAATTCCAACCTTCTTAATGGCGTTTTGTGGCTACTAGTTTTCATTGATTTGTATCCAGTCACTAATGCTCCCTCAAGAAGACATTGTACTGCATATGATGATGTCTAATTCTCCATTCCGATGCTGATGCAGGCATGGTTTAGAGAACTTCCTACAGGGGTGTTGGACTCTCTTCCACCCGAGCAGGTGATGCAGTGCCGCACAGAGGAAGACTGCGCTAAGCTTGCAGGGCTCCTTCCACCAACCGAGGCTGCTCTGCTGGATTGGGCCATCCATTTGATGGCTGATGTTGTCCAAGAAGAGCAGCAGAACAAGATGAATGCATACAATGTTGCTACAGTCTTTGCTCCAAACATGACTCAGGTAATCCATACCAAACCCAATGTCACACACCACTGCCTGTTTTACCAGTGATAGACTTCTAATGCACAGTTGAGCTATTGGCAGATGGCAGATCCCTTGACTGCACTTATGTATGCAGTGCAAGTGATGAACTTCCTCAGGATGCTGATCCTGAAAGCTTTGAAGGAGAGACAGCAATCCACCGTTTCAGACAATGAGGCACTGAAGGAGCTTTCTGTTGCTGAAGAAGCTACTGCAGATGAGTCAGCTGCTACTGCTTCTCATGCAGCTCATGTTAATTCTGGTAGCAAGACTGGCAGATCCAGCAATCAAAACCATTGAGATACGGATCATTCAGACTTTGTGATGATAGAGTGAGTAGGTTGAGTGTGAATTTACTTTTGAGAAATTTGTCATTCTGATTAGTGCTTCTTCTTTTTGTCTTTCTGATTTCTAAGACTTGTCAATCTTCACTTGTTATTTTTATTCAAGTAAATCTATTAAACCATTTCTTTTTCTTGGACAAGAAAAAAATACAGGGGACAAAAACATCCAAATGGCAAATGCCAGCTTCTCTCATGCAAGCTTTGGATTGTCCCACATCTTTCATCCCCTGGAGAAGTGGGACCCAACATATCCATGGCACTCCCTTGGCTCCAATAAAACTAATGGTTGTCCTGCTATGATGCAAGCCCACAAAGATCTCATTGCAAGGGATGAGGCAGATATTAAAGTAGGGATTCTTTCACATATCTATCCTTGCAGGGTTTGGAATTATTATACTTATTCTTAATTATTTTATCACATCATACTTATGTTAATATTCACCCAGAAAAATCATGTTAATCATTTCTAATTATTAAAATTTATATAAAATAACATTAGTAATATATATGCTAAAATTAAATTTAAAGCAACATTAAAAAAAAGAAGGATTTGAGAGGGGTATTGGTGTAATTTTAGCCACAGGAGAAGATAGTGTGGGATGAAAATATCTGAAGGTGAGAGGGGAGGAGAGAGCGGTGGCTATGGTTGGTGGCGAGCACTGCAAGCGAAGGAGTGGCTCCGACGCTGCCACGTCGGATCCTTTTAATGACCTATTTCGTGTTCCACCTTCCTGACGTGGCCGTCATTTCTCCCATTGACGATCCGCTGCACGACACCAGGGTGGAACGGGCTCTACCATCCAATCGTAGAAGGAGAGTTACATCGGCCGACGTTTCGCTGACATCAGCCTCGTCTATGGGGAGTTTTTGGTTGGTTCAGAATGATGTATGGTGTGTGTGGAATGCCGGATCCGCACTCGCCATGGCCACGAGATATTTCTCACGTCCGTTCGAGTCAGCTTGGCCACGGATTTCCTCCGTTCTCTCCCCCCAGCCCAAATATTACATCGCCTCCTCTTCCTTCCTTCCTTCCTCCTCCTCCTCCTCCTCCTTCTTCTTCTTCTTCTTCTTCTTCTTCTTCTCCCTTCGGCACGATGGAGGCCGGCGCAAGGGGGGACGAAGGGGAGATGACGGGGGTCGCGCCGGGAGACGGCGGAGGACCGGAGAGGGGGAGCACTGCAGCCGCCGGCCCCAGTTCCGAGCGGCAGGTGATCCGGTGGGAGCGGTTCCTGCCCCGGAGATCCCTTCGGGTCCTCCTCGTCGAGCACGACGACTCCACCCGGCACATCGTCGCCGCCCTGCTCCGCAAATGCAGCTACCACGGTATTTCCCCTCCCCTCCCCTCCGATCGGTTGGCTTCGTCGCTTTGTTGGTTGAAATTGGCGGTTGTTGGGTGCAGTTGCGGCCGTCGCGGATGGGCTCAAGGCGTGGGCGGTCTTGAAGTTGAAGTGCTACAAGTTCGATCTTGTGCTCACCGAGGTGGAGATGCCTTCGCTGTCCGGGATTGGGCTCCTCTCCAAGATTATGGCTGCCGAGGAGTGCAAGAACATTCCAGTGATCAGTAAGTCGCCAAACAAACCATGCGTATTTTTGGATTGAATCACCCAAAACTGAAACTTCCTTGAAAGTTCGCATCAAGCTATGATCTTTTTGTTTATTGCGTCAGCTATTTATCTTTATATGACTTGCTTTGTAGTCATCACTGTATGCCTTACTATATAGTAAAGTTGCCTGATTTGAGAATTGAAAATATTGGTATCGAAGTCAATCGAATCTCAATGTCACCATAGCATGGTTTGGTGGATATTTTTTCCTTAACCTTGTAACTTAGGAGACTCTGAAGCTTAGAGGAGAACTAGTTCTTGTCATGTATATGTTGTCTTCATCTTGACATCACTAGAATGGTGCTTTCTGTTACAGTGATGTCTTCTCAAGATTCCATTGGTGTAGTGCTCAAATGCATGCTAAAGGGTGCTGTAGATTTTCTGGTGAAACCAGTGAGGAAGAATGAGCTACGGAACTTATGGCAGCATGTTTGGAGGAGACATTGTGTAGGTTCATCATACTTTCTTATGATAACAAATGAGTCATAGACTCTGCCAATCGATTTATTTTTGTGAATCATCTGATGACAAATTTCCTAACTATACTCTTGATGTAGTCAAATAATGCTACAAATGCCTCCGACAATAATGCTGCTAGCAATCATGTGAGTGTCAATGCTGGTGATGGATCCAAGACTGGGGAAAACAGTGATGAGGATGATGCTCAGGTATGTGACTTGAAAAATTGATGTTCAATTAACTGATTAAGTGGATAGTGTCTGTTAGGAATGGTTGATTGTTCTTGTGAAGTACATTTAAAAAAAATCTGAGTTGTTTGATTTCTTTGGTGTCTCACAATAGTTAATTGATGTTTTATCAGAGTTCTGGCAGTAAGCCAGAGGCTCAGAGCAAAAGTGTGCAAAAGCATATAGAAATTCTTCAATCTGTGGAGGAGAACAGGGAATCTGAACCAAAAGCAGAGCAGCTCAATGATGGTACAATAATAGTGGCAAATCAATTGAAGAACTATAAAGGAAATGAAGCCAGAGGTTGTCAACCATTATTTATTCAACATGTCCTTTTGGGATGATGAGCTTAATAATAATTTCTTAAGCTGATTAGGTTTCACATTTTTGCAGATAAGACTTCTGGACCTACAGTCCAAGTAAATCATTCAGTTCAAAGTACTATCTTAGCTGAGCAAAGGGAGGATAAGAATTTTTGGTGTAATAGATCCATATGTAAGGAGCAAAAACAGGTGTGTGTGAGGTTGCAGAAGGATGAGGACTTTGATCCTAAACCATATCATCAGCCTGATGCTACAAATGAATCTTTCCAGAACATGATAGAGTTTATTGAGCCAACAACTAGCAGAAGATGTGTTCCTGCAGCTATGGAAAGGGCTGCTTCTATGGAAGATATACCATGTGAAGCTTCAACATGCTCTCATGGAAAATGTATATCTGACTTTGGTTCTTCCCAGCTACTTGAACTTTCCTTGAGAAGACCACAACTTGATGGCTGTGTGAATCTGGAGTTCAAAGAAAAGCATGTACTGAACCATTCTAATGCGTCTGCTTTTTCAAGGTAATCTTCTCAAGAAAACGTCCAGCTTACTTTTAGTTGTAGAGTTCCATTGCTCTTGGTTTTGATAGTGTTTGCAAATCATAATCTCTCCTTCGTTCTTGATAATGCCATTAAAAAGTTTTACACAGCTGAAATTTCATCTGAATTGATATAATATTTCGTTGTTATCTGCAACGAAGTTTATTAGGACAAGGTTCTGAGTAATATGCCTTGTAGGTACAGTGATAAGAAGATGCAGCATTCTTCTCAAAAGCCAGTTTTAACTTCTTTATGCATTGGCACCAAGGAATCTGTTGAAGAAACCCAGCAACGTGCCAACCTATATAGCTCTTTTAGTGAAACATGTCATGCCCTATCTTCTAAAGAAATGCTGACATCTGATCGGGGTAAAGCAATTGAAGCTGCCATTTATTTTCAAATTTCTTCTGATAGCAACAAGGAGGATGGTGGCATTTTATCTTCTCATCCGATACATGATGATGCTTCACACCCTCAATATAACTTTTTGTCATTGCCAGTACCTGTTGGAGCAATTCCTTACCAGAGGTTGTCAACCAGATTTGGTGCTACTGTGCAACCACTGTTCTTACATCCAAACAATTCAACTTCCTCAGAGAAAAGAATGGTTCAGGATAGTTCTGTACAATATATTCACCATGAAAGTCAGATTATGAATAATACTCAGCAACTTGAATATCACGGCCATGAAGATTATCATCAATTCAGCTACTCTAGACATCATGCTGAGACAGAATTAGGGGGTCCAGGAGATTCCTCATGCATTCCCTCCGAACAAGCCATTCAAAGTGCCAGCTCTAGCCTAGATATTTACAACGATTGTGGAACAAATGATTGCGACAAAACAACAGAAGCTCCTGCAAGCACCTTTAATGCTATAGAAAGTGGAAATGAGAGTGGTGTCCAGAACTCTGGCAGGAAAGGTTTGGATTGTCATCTTTCTCCCCGAGAAGCTGCATTAATAAAATTCCGTTTAAAAAGAAAAGACCGATGCTTTGAGAAAAAGGTAATTGGTTTACTTTTTGCACTAGCTTTCATTGGTTATTCTGCACACTGGCATATGTTTCTAGCTTGGTTTTACATTGTTCAAACACTATGTGGAATTTCAAAGAGAACCATGTTAGTGTTGCATAATCTTATCTAGCATGATAGACATTAATATAACTCATTCTTCATTTCAAAGAAAAAAAATTATCTTACTTAGACAAACATTAATAGTAGACATAGTTGTTCTTGATGAAAAATTAGGATTTGGAAGAGCCTAGAAATCTACCCTAGTTGCAATCTTAAGTTACAAAATAATAATTAACAAATTATGTTGTATAACAGAATGTGTCAATCATAGTACATTAAATCAACTTTAGTGTACTACTGCTTGGTACAGGTTCGTATATTGATATGTTTTTATCTCTATCAGTATACTCAGTATCGGTACAACTCGATATGTATCGTATCGATAAAATGAATCGAAATATTAAACCTACAGTTTTTTATTGTATTCTTTATTAAGCAGTAAAAGTTATTTATCAGCTTCTGTCAGTCTCTTTTGGAAAGCTACAGTTAATACATTGAGAGTGTGTTTGCAGACCAATTCCATTTTCAAATTTGCGTGCAAGTATATAATGTTCTCTTTAATCTAAACACTGGACACAATATACTTGTATTTGAGATATGTGGCACTTCTGTTTCTTACTCTAATTTTGTTTTGACAGGTTAGGTACCAAAGTAGGCAAAAGCTAGCAGAGCAGCGACCAAGAGTGAAAGGGCAATTTGTGCGTCAAAAAGTCATTGACTCGACAACTGCAGCAGAAGCAGAAGACTAACTTGAGCGACTGACAATAACTTTTCCTTGAGTTGTTATGTCCAGTAAAGTGAATTTGAGGTAGGTTTAAGTTAAATTTCTCCTTCTTATTGTACTCCCTTATCTGGCTGCACAGTTCTCACCTACATTACTAGCCTGTAATCTCTGAAGAACTTTGATCAGAGAATGTTGTCACTGATCTTTACGATAAAAGATGAGAATGTTTTCATCGATTTGCACTGCTTCGCGGCAGCTGAATTCAAACAAGTTATATCATC